ATAAATCAAAAAATCAAAAAATCAGCCGGGTGTGGTAGCGCATGCCTGTAATTCCGGCTACTCAGAAGGCTGAGGCCGAAGGATCACCGGAGCCCAGCAGGTCGAGGCTGCGGTGGCTGAGAGCAGTCACTGCACTCCAGTCTGGGCGACAGGGTAAGATTCCGACTCAGAAAAAAAGAAAAGACTAATACTAAAATTGTAAAAAGGGGAATTCTCCATTGCAGTTGGTGTGTCATGAAATTCTTGTTAGTGCCTGTTTCTTTTTCTTCTGGATTCTTGTTTTCCTTTTTTTGGTTTTTGGGTTTTTTTTGAGTTGGAGTCTCACCCTGTCGCCCAGGCTGGAGCAGTGGCATGCTCACAGTCACCGCAGCCTTGACCTGCTGGGCTCCGGTGATCCTTCTGCCTCAGTCTTCCTAGTAGCCGGAATTACAGGCGCACTCTACCATGTCCGGCTGATTTTTTGTAGAGATGAGGTCTCACTGCCCAGGCGGGTCTTGTACTCGCGGACTCAGGCAATCCAGTCACCTCAGCCTCCCAAAGGTGCAGGATTACAGGCTGAGCCACCGAGCCCGGCTAATTTTTTCATTTTTATTTGTTGTTGAGATGAGGTCTTGCCAAGTTCCCCAGGTTGGTCTTGAACCCATGGGATCAGGCAATTCCCTCACCTCAGTCTCCCAAAGTGCTGGGATAATAGGCGTGAGCCACCGCACCCAGCCTAATTTTATTATTTTTTGTAGAGACAGTCTCACTATGTTGCTCAGGCTGGTCTTGAACCTGTGGGCTCCAGCAACCCTCCCACATCAGCCTCCCAAAGTGCTGGGATTACTGGTGTGTGCCACCACACCTGGTCTCAATAATTGTTTTCGTTTATAGAAATTCTATTTGGGGTCAAATGCAGTAGCTCATGCTTGCAATCCCAGCATTTTGGGAGGCTAAGGCAGGAGGACGGCTTGAGCCCAGGAGTTCAAGATCAGCCTGAGCAACACAGCAAGACCTTGTTTCTAAATGACAGAAATAAACAAACCAACAAATAAGCAAGCCAAGCATGCTAGGTGCAGTGGCTCACGCCTGCAAAACTGAGGCAGGAGGATTGCTTGAGCCCAGGAGTTCAAGATCAGCCTGAGCAATATAGCAAGATGTCAAAGAAAAAGAAAGAAGGAAGGAAGGAAAGAAAGGTAGAGAAAGAAAGAAGGAGAGAAAGAAAAAGCCAGGCATGGTGGCAGTCATCTGTTGTCCTAGCTACGTGCAAGGCTGACACAGGTGCCCAGGAGGTCAAGGCTGTGGTGAGCCATGACTATGCCACTGCACTCCAGCCTGCAACACAGTTGAGACTCGGACAAAAAAAAAAAAAAAAAGCAAAGAAACAAATTCTATTTGACACTGAGACCAGAGTACAGTGGCAACATCAAGTTCACTGTAAACTTAAAACCTCTGGGCTCAAGCAATCCTTCCGCTTTGGTGTCCCAAAGTGTTGGAATTACAGGCATGAGCCACCATGACTGGCCCGATTTTACTTTCAACACTACTCTTGAGTAAACTCATTGAAGGTGGCAGACAGCACACACTCTAGCTGTTGTCTTGGCCACTGTGCCCTTCACCACGTATCTTTCCTGGAATAAATCTACCAGGATTTGGCTGGGCGTGGTAGCTCAAGCCTATAATCCCAGCACTTTGGGAGGCCGATGCGAGAGGATTGCCTGAGCCTGCAGATTTGAGACCAGCCTGGGCAACATGGTGAGACCTTGCCTCTACAGTACACCACAAAATTAGCTGGGCGTGGTGGCGCACGCCTATAGTTCCAGCTCCTTGGAAGGCTGAGTTGGAAGGATCGCCGGAGTCCAGCGGGTTGAGGCTGCAGTGGTTGTGGGCGTGCCATGGCACTCCAGCCTGGGTGACAGAGCCTCCGACTCAAAAAAAAATCTGCCTTTTTAAAATAAAAAGTAAACTCATTAAAATAGGCTAGGCATGGTGACTCACACCTGTAATCTCAGCAGTTTGGGAGGCTGAAGTGGGAGGACTGCTTAAGACCAAGAGCTTGAGCCCAGCCTAGGCAACATAGTGAGACCTCATCTGTACAAAAAAATGAAAAAATTAGCAGGGTGTGGTGGTTGCATGCCTGCAGTTCCAACTACTCAAGATGCTGTGGCCAGTGGTGATCGTACCACTGCACCCCAGCCTGGGCAAGAGTGAGACCTTGACTCAAACATGTAAAAAATAAATGAATAAAGTTATATATATATATATATATATATATACATATATTTTTTAAATGAACACATTAAGACAGTTTATATACCACATATGATTCTAGTATCTGTGACATTTATTTGACAACTTGATTATGTTGCGTTGCATCTTTTTTTTTGAGTCGGAGTCTCACTCTGTTGCCCAGATTGGAGGGCAATGGCACATTCACGGCCACCGCAGCCTCGAACTGCTGGGCTCCAGTGATCCTTCCGCCTCAGCCTTCCAAGTAGCCAGAACTACAGATGCATGCCACCAAGCCCGGCTAATTTTTTATTTATTGTAGAGACGAGGTCTTGCTAAGTTGCCCTGGCTGGTCTTGAACCTGTGGCTCAGGCAATTCACTCACCTCGGCCTCCCAAAGTGCTGGGATTACGGACTGAGTCACCAAGCCCGACCAAACTGTACTTTTTTTTTAAATGAGCACATTAAGACAGTTTATATACCACATACGATTCTAGTATCTGTGACATTTATTTGACAACTTGATTGTGTTGTGTTGTATTTTTTTTAAGTTGGATTCTCACTCTGTCACCCAGACTGGAGTGATCCCGGCCACCGCAGCCTCGACCTGCTGGGCTCCGGCAAACCTTCCGCTTCAGCTTTCCGAGTAGCTGGAACTACAGGCACACAACACCACGCCCGGCTAATTTTTTGATTGATTGTAGAGATGAGGGCTTGCCAAGTTGCATTTTTTAAGAAGGAAAAATTAGGGACGATAAAATAGGGCAGTACAACTTGGATTCCAGTCTCATCCATGACCTGGAGCCCCTATGAGAAATGAGAGGAACTGGCTGGGTGTTGTGGCTTATCCCTGTAATCCAAGCAGTTGGGAGGCCAGAACGGGAGGGCAGCTTGAGCCCAGTTCAAGGCCAGCCTGGGCAATGCAGCAAGACTCTGTCTCTTGGAGACGTAAAAAAAAAAAAACCAAAACGAAAAGAAAACAACAAAGAAATGAGAGGAATAACTTTGGGGAGTACTAAAATGATACACTGAATTCTTTCCAACCCGATCGTTTTCCTCAGGAATCAGGAAGAACAAGGAACCCACGGGCAGAAAGCCAGGGCCTGCGGAGAGGGGAAAATGGGCAACGGCGAGGCAGGTTTCCACTGAGGGCGACAGCAAAGTTCAGAGCCAGACGGTGGGGACGGGACGGCTGCTCGACATCGTGAGCAGTCCGTGCTTAGTGCTGCTGCACGGCACCCTTGAAAATGGCGACAGAGGTAACTTTTGGATGCTTTTTACCGCAAGAAAAAAATTCTGAAAAGACCGTAGGAATCCCTCCTAAGCACCCGGAGGGGTAGAAAACACATCCACGGGTCACATCCAGTGCACACGGGGATGGAAGTATAGTCTGAACTATATGACGGCTTCAAACAGAGTCTTGACATCATTTCGTCAGCAAGAACACTCTGGGAGTGAGACACAAGCAGCCCAGCCCGCAGCGCTTCGCGAGCACTCAGACGCCACCCCTCGTCCGTGCCCCTGCAACCATCAGGGATGAAGCAGAGACCCACAAGGCATATTTCAAATAGTTTAATTTTAAAAATACTCTATTCAGTGCTAAAATATGTCTTCACTCACTGTTGCCCATTTCCGTTTTCTTAAACTTTTTCGAAACAAAAAATAAAATCACAAAGTTCAATTAAACATGCAGATTTCAAAGAGGAGGGAACTTTCTAGAAAGTCTGAGCTGAAGGAGTACTGCAGGGGATGAGCACTGTTGCCAGAGCCTCAAATTCTTGCTGGGGCGGTTGGTGGCAGGAAGCAGGGGACGCTGGAATGAAACGGACAGGGAGAGAGGAAGCGGCGTGTACGCGTGAGTGTGCCGGGCAGGGGGCGGTTACGGAGCGCACGAAGGACTGTGGCAGCTGGGAGCCCCTGAGCGGCAGGGCCACCGCGGGACGCAGTGCCAGGACGGCGAGGACTCGATACGGGCTTTCTGCCCGGTCTTTCTGCCACAGCGCCGACAGGACCCGGCCGTGGGAAAGCCCGCAAACGCTCAATCTCCGTTCAAGTTCAAGTAGCCCGAGGCACTCTCCCCTGGAGGGCGCCTTCCACATCTCCTCCTCCTCGGCGGACGCCAGCAGCTCGGTCCAGGGGTTCTGGAACAGAGGCCGCTCCCGGGAGGTGCCAGGTGAGCCTGGGCCGGCGGAGGCTCTGGCCAGCTGGGGGTGCAAAAGGACACGAGTGCTCCTCTTCTCCGGAGCGGGCAGACTCGGGCGTCGGGGACGGGAAGATGGCGCCGCCAGCCCGAGTCCCACATGGCCTTGCGGCCAGGCGCGCCCTCGCCCCGGCAACGCGGCAGGCCAGAACCAGGAGGCAATAAATAGAGGCGGAGGGCGCCCGAGGGCGCTAGCTTTCGGACGCCGTCTGCGGCCCCGCAGGCTGGTCCGCGCAGAAGCGCTTCAGGGGCGGGGCGCCCGCGTCCTCCTCCTCCTCGGCAGCCTAGGAACAGGCAGGGCATGGGGCGATCGGGCTGGCCCTGCAGACCAGACCCCGCGTCCTCCCGAGTGACAACCCAGAGGCCCCCTTCGACCTTCTCGAAGAGAGTCAGACTGCTCCCCTCCCTTACACACTGGAGACACGGCCGGCAACGCTGGAGATCCAATTCCACACCCAGAGTCTCTCCTTCTTTTTCTCAGGAACTGGGAACAACAGGGTGGCTGCTCACCTGCGTCTCTAGCGGAACCGGTTCTTCCTTGGTGAGGGTGGGAGGCTCGTCCGCCACTTCGGAGGCAGGCAGGGAGGGCTCTGGAAAAGCAGCAGAGCCAGCCTGAGCTCAGGGCCTCCGCGAGGCAGGAGCCTCCTGAGGAACCCTGGCCTCGGACTGGGGGCCTCGCCCAGGACTCACAGGGAGACGGCTCGGTGAGGAGGGGAGGACACTGGCCTGGAAACCGAGCGCGCAGGGCCTGGCCGGGCCAGTCTCGGTGAGGAGCCACAGCCACTGAAGGCAGATGGCCACAATGGGGCTAGATCACAGGGGGCCATCAAGGAGCGTCCAGCCCAGACATCGTGATTCTAACTCAGTCTCTCAGTCTTATGGGAGTTGCTGCGAGGACTGGGTGCAGTAACACATGTAAGGAGGCTGAAACAGTGCACGACAAATAGTGAGTATGCTAAACATGAACTATAATTGGCATTTGCCAGAGAAATCAGTTCTCAGAGGAGGCTAACAAAAGCCTAAGGCATACACACATCTATTTGCATCTGTATTGTAACAAGAAACTCGCAGGATGTAATGCAGAGAGCATGAATTCTGAAGTTAGAAGAACTTAAATCCATATCCAGTTCCAACAGTTAATAGCTGTGTGATCCTGGACAGTGACTTAACCTTTCTTTTTCTTGAGTCAGGGTCTCACTGTCACCCAGGCTAAAGTGCAGTGGCACAATCACAGCTCACCACAGCCTTAACTTCCTGGCTCCTTGAGTAGCTGGGACTACAGGTACATGCCACCATGCCCCAGTTTGTATGTATGTGTGTGTATATATATATCTTCTTTTTTTTTGAGTTGGAGTCTCACTCTGTCACCCAGACGAGAGTGCAGTGACCACTCCCGGCCACCGCAGCCTCGACCTGCTGGGCTCCGGCGATCCTTCCGCCTCAGCTTTCCAAGTAGCTGGGACTACAGGCGCGCACTG